TAAATAAAATCTTGTAAAGAAATCTACTGAATACAGAAGCAAATATGAGAATCCAGCTTCTATTAAGGCAGACATGAACGAGACTGCAAAGATGTGTAACAATGCCATTTTCCCAATAAATTTATTTAAGAAAATAGTTGTTTTCATGAAAATGTGTTATGTTAACATATATTGGGTTTGCTATTGTGATTTTAAATAAATTAATAAATAAGTATTTAGAAATTTTTCTCCACTTTTATTTCTAACCTGGTAACACCAATTGATAAAAATCCACACAAACATGAGCCCTCTGGAGTCCTCAGATTCTTAAGACTAAATGTTGGAGAACGGCTGATTTACATTACAAATAAAGATCTCCATTTTAAAATTTTGAAATTGCTGATAGTGTTATAACATGAGGTTAATATTCAAAATATATAAGGAACTCATACAACTCAATAGCAAAAACCAAACAATCCAATTTAAAAAAATGAAGAGAGGACCTGAATAGACATGTCTCCAAAGAAGACATCCAGACGGCCGACAGACGCATGAAAAGATGCTGAACATCACTCACTCATCGTCAGGGAAATGCAAATCAAAACCACAATGAGCTATCACCTCACACCTGATAGAATGGCTCATCTCAAAAAGACAAGAGCTAACACAAGTTGGCGAGGATGTGGAGAAAAGGGAACCCTCATGCACTGTTGGTGGGAGTATCCCTTGGTGCAGCCACTGTGGAAAACAGTATGGTGGTTTCTCACAAAATTAAAAATAGAACTACCCTGTGACGCAGCAATTCCACTTCTGGGTACATATCCAAAGGAAATGAAATCAGGATCTCAAAGAGATATCTGAACTTCTATGTTCATTGCAGCATTATTCACAATAGCCAAGGTACAGAAACAACTGAAGTGTCTCCGGATGGATGAATAGATAAAGAAGATGTTTCTATATGGCTATTATATTATATACATAAGTAAATGCACAATGGAATTTTTTTTTTTTAAGATTTTCTTTATTTATTTGAGAGCGAGAGAATGAGAGATACAGAACACGAGAAGGAAGAGGGTCAGAGGGAGAAGCAGGCTTCCCACCGAGCAGGGAGCCTGATGCGGGACTCGATCCCGGGACTCCAGGATCATGACCTGAGCCGAAGGCAGTCGCTTAACCAACTGAGCCACCCAGGCGCCCTGCACAATGGAATATTATTCAGTCATGAGAAAGAAGGAAATCCTGCCACTTGCAACAACATTGATGGACCTTGAGGTCATTATGTTAAGTGAGATATATCAGAGAAAAACAAATACTGTATGATCTCACTTATATGTGGCATCTAAAAAAGCTGAACTCCGAAACAGAGAGTCGATTGGTGGGGCACCTGGGTGGCTCAGTTGGTTAGGCATCTGCCTTCAGCTCAGGTCATGATCCCAGGGTCCTGGGATCAAGCCCCGCATTGGGCTCTCTGTTCAGCAGGGAGTCTGCTTCTCCCTCTCCCCCTCCCCCTGCTTGTATGTGCTCTCTCTCTTTCAAATAAATAAATTTTAAAAATCTTAAAGAAAAAGAGAGTACCACCATTGGTGGTTGCCAGGGGCTAGGGGATACAGAAAATGGGGAGATGGTGGTCAAAGGGTACAAACTTCCAGTAATAAGATGAGTAAGTCCTGAGGATCTCATGCACAGCATGGCGACTCTAGTTAAGAATACTGCATTATGTACTTGGAAGTTGCTAAGAGAATAGATCTTAAGTGTTCTCATCACAACAACAAAAAGTAAACAACAAATTTCTGTAAAAGTAATCATGGAGGTGTTACTAACATTACTGTGGTCATCATGTCACAATATATATGTGTATTAAATCATCACGTTGTACACCTTAATCTCAGTGTTATATGTCAATTAAATCTCCATGAAGCTGAAAAAAATATAATTATAAAGCAACCAGACTATAGAGTCTGTAGAGCTGGAAAAGCAGATATGCCTCAATTATTTTAACAGTAAGTCCCTTAAGCAAAAAAAAAATAAAAAAATCTCTATAAATTATAAATAGCAAAAGCTAAGAGCAGTCACTCAGAGAGCTATATGTACCTGTTTAGGAAAACAGGAACGGCAACCAATCACCAGTTATCACGTCCAAACGCCTATATCCAAGTACGTGTAGCGTAAAGGGGAGGAAAAAGCCAAGAGGGTATAAGTGTTCATAGAAGGACAATTCTGATTCATTTGAACTCTTTAGTTATTAATAATCACTGATCACAAAGTAAAACACCCTTGCATTCTCGAAAAAGAAGTAATCCCAGGGCGCCTGGCTGGCTCAGTCAGTGAAGCAGGTAACCCTTGATCTCTGGGGCGATAGCTTCGAGCCCCACGTTGGGTGTAGAGATTACTTAAAAATAAAATCTTAAAAAAGGAAAAAAACAGTAATCCAACAAGACTGGATCATGGAAATATACTTTTTTTTAAGTAGGCTCCACGCCCAACATGGGGCCCGAGCTCACGACCCCCAGGTCGAGAGTCACAGGTGCCACGGACTGAGCCAGCCGGGTGCTCCGAGACGGAATCGTGGATATACTACTCTTTGTTATATTATTCTCTGTGTTTTCTAGGCTTGAAATTTGCATGATAATAAAAGCAGCACACCACACTGGTAACCTGGGGAAATAGAGTGATTCTCAAGGTGCGAACAGGAAGACCCTCCAACAATACAATCTTAGTAACATTTATTCTTTACCCACATGCTTTTTTAATTTTTCCCAAACCCATAATGTAATGGATTTTATCCTAAAGCAAGGCCTCTCCTCCCTGCCAGTTTTTGACCCATTTCTACGCTTACTTAGGGGAAGACATCAGAGAATCGGAGATGCCCAATTCCCACCACCCTAGGAGGGGTCTCCACCAGGGGCTTCACAACCGAGTTCCCGCCCTTCAGCTTCCCCGCCCTCCACACCCCCCAACAACCCTAGTGATTATTTTTACCTAAGGAGTAGCTGCTAAAGGAAGCCTGCTCAGTTCAGGGCAAAGGTCTGGTTTCCTGGCAGTGCCTGCAGAAAGACAATTGCCCCGGAATATGCACCGTGTACTTTAGATACAGGTTTTGGCTTCTTCTTACTTCCACCCACTCCTCCCCCTACAGACGTGGTCTAAAGACTTTTGTATTTTGTGGTTGGTGAGGATGATGACAGAGCTGATAAAAATGCAAATTTAACACTTCCAGCTCTTAACCCTGTCACCATCCCAAATATTTTCCCTGGGAGTTTGTTTCATTACCCAAGGTTTTAGGATGGCTAAAATTCACATATAACGAAACACACAAGTCTTCAGTGTATCGTTCCGTGAGTTTGGACAAATGCGCGCCATACCACCTAATCCAAACCCCGGTGAAAATGGTCATTACTTTCCCTCCAGAAAATTCCCCCTTGCTCCTTCCTTCCTGGCCAAAAATCACTATCCTCTCCTGCTTAGAGGCAGTCACTGTTTGATTTTCCCATCGCACTGAATCCCGGAGTGTATTTGGGGATTGGAGGGAGAGGAGGCAAATTTCTGAGATCCCTCATTCATTAAATGAGTTGAGTTGTGGATTCACCCAAAGGGGCTCTGCTCAGTCTTGAACTGGAGGCCCAATTTTCACAAGGGGGCTTCTGATTAAGGCCGAGCTGAAATCCATTTTCCCCAAAGTTGCTTCTGTTTTCATGGACATAACCCTGGCGCTATATCCAGGAGATGTCAATGCTTAAGGGCCAGGGAGGAGAAAATATAGCTTAGGCAAAGAAACCAAGACTCAAAAGTTTAAAATCTAGCTCTTACTTGGAGCTCACCATTTTTATGTCTATGCTTTATATGAAGAGGCTTCAGACTAGGGATCTAAATTTTAAGCATATCCCCAACCTGGACTGGCCACGACTTTGGATAAATTACTTCCCATCTCTGAACTTCTTCTAGCTATAAAGTGAGTACCGCTGTATTGATTTCCACTATAATGGGCAGTGTGAATCTTGTAGCCATGGTATTTGGGATGACGGCCTGTTTATGTGCATCCAGCCTCCCTCGGGTCCATGAGGTCTAATGAAATGAAAGCAGACTCCTTCACTCACAACGCAAGAGGTGTCGAAGAGAAAGTTCGATGACAAAATTAGCCATACACTTACGGGGGAAGGACAGTGTCCAGAATTTTATTCATTATCAAATAAATCTGGTTATTTTATATTTCCTGTCAGATTACTTTTCAGATGTCAGTACTCATCAGTATGCAAAAAAAGCAACGCTACCTTGCTAACTCTGCTAAAGTCACTTCTGTATTCTTGTGTTCATTAGAATGTTCAGGAAGGATTCATTTGGTTCATACAATAAAAGAGCTACAAATGGTAATGATTCCCAAACAGCACTTTGTTCGCAAAGAATCCCACGCCAGAACACTGAGGGGGCTGACTTCTGTGGTGGGAACTCAGCTACACCATGTGTTCGAACAGAACCCAGTTTCTCCCTGTGAGCAAGTCATTCTCCTTGGCAGCCTAGAGTCTGTCTTTCCCCGCGGGACTCATACCCTGCGTGGCTTTTGCTTTTATCCCTTCTCTTTCCTATTCCTCTCCTGCCCACGAGGATTCCAGCAGAACCTCAGTGTGAAGATCCAACACAAAAAAAAATCAAAAAGTCCAACGAGCAAACCCTCAGGTACAGAAATCCCTTCTCTTCTCTCAGGCTCGATCTATTTCTTGGCGGAGCCCCAGGTCAGGAGGCAAGTTCGCTGTGGATGCGTGTTCTGTGCATTGGGTGCCTCCCAGGGTGCTGCAAACCTGTGCTCGGGGTGAGGGTGAGCGTTCCCCCCTGAGATGGGGAATCAAACCCTCGGGGTGCGGCTGCAATCGGAGAGAGTGGGAACACTGGGGGAGCTTTGGGGGCTCAAGCTTCCGATGCCTGGTCTGGGGCTAGAAACCCCCATTCTCTGAGCCTCAGTACCCTCAGCTGGAACTGGGAAATGAGGACCCACGCTTCGCTCAGACTTTAACACTCATAATTCTCACCTGAGACTCTTGTGACGCTGCAGAGTCTGCTGCCACAGGTCTGGGGTGGAGCCAGACACCGCAGGTCTTCCAAGCTCCCAGGGGACCCTGGTGCTGCTGGTGGTCTGCGGACCCCAATTTGAAGAGCGTATTCTGTGGCCGGGCTTGGGTCAGGTGCTTGGTGTTTCAAAAGGTCTTCACATTCTCATGATGAAGTTAGCATCACCCCCTGCAACACAAAAAGCAACCTGGGCTTGGAGAGGTCAGGAGAGTGCCTGGCGTCACGCAGCTGGTGAGCGGCACAGAGGAACCCTGGTCCCCCCAGTCAGTGAGGAGAATGAGTTACAGCCGTGCTAGTCGGAGGACGGGCCCCTCGTTAGCAGCACCAGCAGCACCTGGGAATGGGCTGCACACGCACGTTCTTGGGCCCCATCTCAGACCTACTCAACCAGAAAGTCTGGGGGTGCTCCCTGCGATCTGCAGTCCAACAGGTCACCCTTCGTTCTTCTGATTCTGCTGAACATTCAACTTTGAGGATCCCTGAATCAGAACACTGCTTCTCAGACCTGATCATGTGCACAAATCTCCCAGGCGTCCTGTTACAGTGCACCTTCTGATTCTCCAAGTGCAGAGTATGGCGTGAAAGCGTGCATTTCCAACAAGCCCCCATATACTGCCGATGTCGCTGGTCCAAGGACCACACTCCGACCAGCAAGGAACTGGATGATTTTTCCCTCCAGTCAGAAGACTGAGTTATCTGTGGGTTTTACTCTTCACATGCCGATAGAGGTGGGGAAAGAAGCGGAGAGGACATTCCTGAATTTAAGTGCAGAACGGGCTCAAACCAGAAAGCTTTAAATTCAATCTCAAAATTCTAGGATAAGCAATAATACAGTAAAACACCAAAAGAGGGACGCCTGGGCGGCTCAGTCGGTTAAGCGTCTGCCTTCGGCTCAGGTCATGATCCCGGGGTCCTGGGATCGAGCCCCGCATCGGGCTCCCTGCTCGGCGGGAAGCCTGCTTCTCCCTCTCCCACTCCCCCTGCTTGTGCGTGCTCTCTCTGACAAGTAAATAAATAAAATCTTAAAGAAGAAGAAGAAGAAGAAGAAGAAAGGAAGACCTTTCTCCATCAAAGGGATAAAGTGCCTTGCTCTATCCGCCCCAGCTGAGCCTTTAATCTCTTTCTGGCCAACACTGGATTTTCCTTCTGAACTCACCATGTCTTTAAACAGTTTCCTTTGCAACCCCAAGCCCCAAACGTCACAAAATCAGGTACATCAAATAAGGAAAACCTGCTTTGCTATGACCTCCCTCTCTTAAACATTAATCACTGCTTCCCTTGAATTTTCTCTTTGCGTTTATGGCTGCCCAATGGCTTATGTCTCCTGAAAATTCTGAGAGATCCCAGAGAAGGGAAGAAATCCTTCCTTTTATACCTGGATAAATTTACTATGCAAAAACATGGCTAATCCAGTGCGCTCTCCTGCTGGGGAGGGTGTCAGCTGAAAGCAGTAAGTAGGGAACATTCCCAACAGCTGGGGCGTCAATGCCCCCTTACTGCGAAGGGGTCCAGAGAACCTCTGCACACCCAGAGGAGGGTCTCCTGTGTGGTACTGATCACCCGTATTGCTCATTCGTATCTCGTTGTTTGACCTTCTTTAGAGCAAATCATGAGGCTAGGATGTATATCTCTTTGATTTTGAATGCATGCCCAGCACAGTATCTGCTATGGGGAAGAGCCATGCATTTTTGTTGAAGAAATTTTTAAAAATCTGAAAAATATTCCATAGGTTCTGTGATTAGATGCAGCCCTTATCTCTTTATTGATTTTTCCCTTAGCCACCAAAACATGCGATGTTTCATTTGTAAGATGTCGTATAATTTAAAGCATCCAAAGCTTGCATGTTATCTCAAGAAACCTTTCTAAAGCCAACCCATTAATCTTGATTAATTTTTATCACTTGCTCTGCATTTAGAACAGAGCTTTTGGCTATGATGAACATATCCTAGTTGACACTGTCCAGGGCATGCCTTGATCTGTGGTGATTTGGCATCACGGTTGGGTGCCCTGGTACCAAGAGCACAGTCCTTGGTTGAATAGACCAAGTAGGAATGCAGAGCCTGCTTAATCAAGAGCTTGCTTGACGTGACTCCTCGTGAGGAAAGTCAGATGCCCCTTGTGTAGGCAGAGGGCGATTTTCTCTGATGACACCGCATACCCATTCCAGAAACTCACTAGGTCAGCAGCTTCCTCGACAGTGGCCCGACTGGGAATTGCTGTGGCCTAGTTCTGTTCTCTACCGCCTCTAGTTGGGGATACTGCCTTAATGAGGCCTCTGAGTAGCTGGAGTTTGCTTACGGTATTTGAGTGGAAGCAAAATAAATCGGATGACATTCTCCCCTCCATCCTATCTTACTTTCTAGCTCAAGGACATTTTAATTCATTCAACCTTTACTTTTATTTCCATTTCTAAAGTTTATAAATGCGATCCTAGGGTTGTTTAGCTATTAAAAGAAAATCTTTCCTTCCTCTCAAGCTGTATTCTGACGAGACTGTCCAGATGATTGCAGTGGCCTTTCCATGAAAAAAATTATAAGGCAAGGATGTTGCAACCAGCGGATTATCTCCAATATTGAAAAAGCAGATTTAAAACTCCAAATCTTTGAGTTCCTCACAAATTCTTAGCAATACCGTCTAGTCTTGGCAATGAGCATTATAATAATATTAATGTTGAAAACAGCTGTTAAGTTTGCATCTAAGAAATGTTTGCAAGAATGCACATCAGGTCAGCAATGTACTCGAAAACAGGGTTTTCCTGTGTCCTGCTTCCATTCGTTATGATATTTTCGGTTATATAATCTTTTCCCTAGAGAAAGAGGAATAATGTGAATTAAATGTGTCAGATAAATGGATGTGGGTCTTTCTCTTGATCTGAACGCTTAATGCAAAATTCTTTCCAGGAGGCATCCTAGGTAGTTCCTGAATTAGGTCACTGAAAGCTTTTTTTTTTTTTTAATCAGTTTTAGTGCTCTGTATCTAACTATAATCTATAGCCTTCTCCACATTATTTGAATGCCAGCAATTCTGATAATAACAGTGCGTCTCATAGCTAGTGGCTGCTCTCTTCATTCAAGAAGCCTCTGACTTTACCGTGTGAATTAAACGGAGCACCTCGAAATTTTCAACATTGACCTGTTCCTAGTGGAAAAGAAGCAAAAATGTCACTCCTCATTCTCTCTCTCTCTCTCTCTCTCTCTCTCTCTCTCTCTCTCTCTCGGCAGTTTGGAATCTGAAGACTAATTCTGCTTACATCAGGGAACAAGTGATGTAGATGAGCTTCACAAAAGATCGCCAAGGGCAATCCCTCCCCCGCCCCGCTCCCCCCACCCCATTTCTTTGAAAAGAAAGTCTAATGGTTTGAAATGTATTCGATCCGTTTGATGGGGAATTGCTATTACAGTCGGAGAAGCTAGTTCTAAATCTCAGAGTGGGAGATGATGGATTTATGATTTTTAAAGCTCCAATAAGTGTTTCATGTTGGATTGCTACATGAAAAAAGAACTTGGGAAAAATAGGAAAAATGTATGCTTTGTGCTTCTAGTACATTGCAATACCAGGTTTTAGTGTGATATACAGCGGTGGTTGCCATAACAACAGAGGGACCCAGGGGCTGCGATTATGCATATAAGGACCTGGCAGCCAGGGAGAGCTGCCCTTCGGCCAGAAGCGACAGTCTTGTTCATTGCCATCTAATTCTTTCACCTTGTGCACCGATTATCTAGATTTGGGTTCTTAAAATTGCTGATGGTCGACCTAAACTTTAGGTTCTGAGCTTTTTCTCTTGATAATTCCCACAATATTAGAGCAGAGGTGGATAAAGTGAGTACGTGTCAGCTCCCCTTGTCTCAACAGCTTAAGAAATCGATATAATTGATGAGATGGAGTTGAAGCTACAATATAATCGAGGAAAGGAGGAACCCGTGCAATTTTGGATTAAATAATGTGATGATGGATAAGTACTTATCTAAATGGTGAAAGGATTGCTTTGGAATAAAATATCACACACATGGTCCAGCATGAGAAATAGTCCTCTACCTTTCAACAAAATGGCTGATGGCATCTAGTACGTTGGCACGTCACAGCGAAAACTTTGCTTATTCATTATTCGAAATGATTCGTAGCGAGAAGATATATTTACAACCAGCTGATGAGAGGTACTGAGTCAAATCTAAACCATGGCACCATCATTTCCCTGTGAGGTTTTCAAACCAACAATTTTGAGAAAGACAGTGGAGAGCTTTTCCTAGTAAAGTTACTAACTCTTCAAAACTAGCAATGACAATGCTGCAAGTGATATGAAGTAACTTCCTCAACGTCACAAAGGTTTGGCTCCTTTTTTACTCCATGTTTGTGGAATTCAAAGATAAGCTGCCCCATAGCAGATTCCGGGCTTTTTTCTTTTTTTTTTTTAAGATTTTATTTATTTATTTGACAGAGAGAAAGACAACCAGAGAGGGAACACAAGCAGGGGGAGTGGGAGAAGGAGAAGCAGACTTCCCGCCGAGCAGGGAGCCCGATGCGGGACTCGATCCCAGGACCCTGGGATCATGACCTGAGCCGAAGGCAGATGCTTAACGACTGAGCCACCCAGGCATTCCCCGGGTTAGTTTTCCTCACCACTATGAACCTACCATGAAGTTCAGACCCTACTTATGGTAGGCACTACACGGTGTGGATGTAAAATCTCTCAGGAGAGTTTTCCAGCCGTAAAGTTCTGTGGTAAGCTGTGTTATTTATCTGTTGCTGCTAACAAATTACTCCAAAACAGTGTCTCAAAGCAATAGGCATTTACCACCTCACAGTTTCTGTGGAATAGGAATTTGGGAGCAGCTTACCTGGGTGATTCCGACTCACGGTCCCTCGAGATTTTGTAGTTAGGACATCGGCAAGGCTGCAGTCATCTGAAGGCTTGACCGAGGCCAGTGGATCTGCTTCCATGGCTCTACGGCAGGAGGCCTCTGTGCCTTGCTGAGTGGGCCTCCCCGTAGGGCTATTTGAGTGTTCTCACAACATGGCAGCTGGCTTCCCTGAGAATGAGTGATCAAAGAAAGAGCAAGGAGAGGCCATACTTCTAGCTCCTAGTCTTGGAAGTCACATACCATCACTTTAGTCACATTCTATTTGTTAGAAGTGAGTCATAAGTAGAGCCCACACTCAAGGGGAGA